AAAACACAAAAAGCAAACCAAGGTGAGTAATGGGCATTTTGTGTTTAATAAAATTAAAAAAATATAAAGATCACAGACAGCGATCTGGTATGACTGGGATTTGCACGCAAACAGAAGAGAAGAAGGGAAGGAGAGGGGGAAAAGAAAGATCTACTCATCATAGGAAAAATGTATTAAAGATAAATCTCAACTTACCATTTTGTGTTAATAAGAATTTTAAGTCAGTGTATTCATATTGACAAAAGTGTTACAGCAGATAAGAGATGATAAATAATAGTTAAAGTACACCTGATGGGGCTGGCCGGATAGCTCAATGGACTAAAGCGCCTGCTTAGGCAGATGCAGGGACTAGGGTTGGATCCCTAGTGTGCTGTGCCAGCCCTGGCCCTGCCCCTGGGGCACGCTAAAACAGGAATTGAGAATGGGCGTGGTGGCATGTGCCTGTAATCCTAGCGCTTGGTAGGCTGAAAATTGGAGGATCACTATAAATCCGATCTAGTAGTGAGACCCTGTAGACCCTGTACTAAATACATAATAAAAAATAATTTTTAAAAAGTACACCTGATGTACAGATCCGAATTCTAAAAACAGTACTAATTGAAAGGATGGTTATGTTGTCACAATGCAAAAATTTAAAGTGAACATACCAAACGATAAACCTATGTAGCATACCAGACAGAAGCAACAGAAGGAAATTAAGAAAAAGAAGTCAAGGCAGCCGCAAAGTGTGGGGCACAGGAACACGGGGACTGGGCCAGAAGCGTGCGTGCATGTGTGCGTGTCACATGGGTGATGAGCTCAAGGGGACTCACTGTGCTGCTTCCTTCACAACTTCAAGTAAGTTGTATTGACAGCTTTATCTGTTCCTAGCAATCCTAAAATGCTTAAAACTGACATAGGTATAACCTCACCAAAAAGCACTATGGTAACAGCATATAGCATGTAGCTGAGTCATTGTGGCAAGAATAAACCTTGGTGACTGTACTCTAAGAACACAGCCTGACAGCAAAACAACAAGAGCTCTTGGGTGAACAAGTGAACACAAGCAATCTGAACGCCTACCACCAGGAATTAATATGGCAAACTAAGTGTACCAGTCAGCAGGCCCTTGGTGTTTCCCTGAGAAAACACACTGCCTGGGAGCACAGGCTGAGACCTGCATCAGAAATGCTACCTAGACCAGCACACTCTACCTAGAGTATGCTGCAGGCAGCACCAGCTTCAGCAAAGGCAACTGAAAATAGGACAGTTATGTTATTAAAAGACAATTCAGACATATTTTAATTTGACATTAAATCTACCACCTATGTGCATGCATAAGAAATTAAATTTACTATTAAGGAATCTGATAGTGACTTTATAAAAACAAATTCAACAGTGTGCCTAGTAGTCAAGGCAGACCAAAATAAAAACAGGTCAGAGGGGACACCCTTCCACAGCCTGGCTCTGATGCCATCACCTGGCTCCACAGGCCTACCTCCCACCCCTCCCGGCCACGCCCCCCTACCTGGCGTGGATGGCCTCTCCAGCATGCTCAGGTGGTGGGAGATGAAGGCCTGGCTGTCATGCACGGTGTCCATATCCACCTCCTCCTCATCCTGAGAGCTGGGGAACTAGGGCACAGAGACAAGTGCCATCACGGCAGAGCCCCCAGGCAGCCGAACATGCACCACACCACCTCCCAAGGAGAGGCAGGTGCCCCTGGTCTGCTCCAAAGGAAGCTGACTAAAGATGACTAAAATCTGCTCCTATGTGCAGACGTGTGAGCAGCAGGGAAGCAGGCAGTGGGCACAGTGCTCCTCCCAAAATGGAGAAAATGAGTGAACACAAGAGGCCACCTGCTGACTGGAGCATCACAGCAGGCACCAGGCTCCAATTCGTCCCTACTACAGAGAAGAGACTGACTGTTCCAGGGAATTGCCAAAAGCTGAGTCCCCACGCCGCCAACCCAGACCGCACCCTCATCTTGCACTCTGGTCTGGAGTCTGCTGCCCTGTCCAGGACTTGCAGAGGCTCTAGGGGGATGTCAGCCTCCCTCTTCACTCCCTGCAGAGGTGCTGACACACTGCGTGCCTTCCCTTGGCAAGCTGTTCCTCTTCCTACAGCAACATTTAAGGTCGAAGTTCAATTCCAGAAGACAGGCAACTCAGAAGGTAGCGGACAACTGAGCTGTGCCAACCATGCAGATTAGAGCATGCCCGGTAGCTAGGGATTATCTGCACTGCACTTTCAAAATGCCGCCTTCCCCTGTCTGCCGTGCCTTCTGGGGGAGGAGAATACTGAAGTGAACTTCTGCCCTCTGTGACTTCCTCCAAGTGCTGCTGCAGGTTTGCCACCACTGTTGTAGAGCTTTTCCAAAAGAATGCCTTTTTGTATCACTCTCTTTTTATATCTTGAAGGGTAAATGTGGATAAATTAACAGATATGGGCAAGCATTATAAACATTTACAGATATAGAAATATTTGGATTACAAAGGACTCTCTAATTAGACTTTTTTTTTAATTCAAACTTCAAGACACAATTTACATTCAGCATACGTTACTGGGTTTCAGAAAATTTAGGGACATAAGTAAATTTTAAAATGGCTATTAATTACTATAGAAAAATACAAATTTTAAAGGTGTTAAAACACCAGATGGGGGGCTGGGGAGATAGCTCAGCAGAATAAATGCTTGCCTGGCAAGTGCTGGGTCCAAAATTCAATCCCCGGTACAAAAAAAAAAAACACCAGAGAGTTGCAAGGCAAGTAATCTGGTTTATACACTGGAGGAAAATGAAGCTTGATGTTTTAGAGACATTTTGTGGTCAGTGAGAAAATTATTTTGGGAAACTCTTTACAGTAAAATGGTTACTATGTATCCTGCAAGTCTTTTTACAAAAAATCTGCCCATTTCATAGTGCTTACCAAGAAAGAAAAACCTCTAAAGGCAAACTCAGATATATATGTAAACTTAAAACTACACCATCCTCTCTCTTCCCACGTGGGCACACTACCCATTCACCCGAGCATGCATCCAGTGTGTATTTATCCTCATTCAACAAGTGTCTGTTGGCCACACGTGTGCTCAGAATGGTGCGAGGACTGAGTAGGGTCTAAAAGGACACACAGGGCTCTGTCTCAGCAGCTCGCCTACCACAAAACAGGTTAAGATGGAGGGGTCACTACTCTGATTTTCTCCTGCACAGGAGACAAATTCTGTGCTCAAGTGAAAGCACAAAGCCATCACTGGAGTGGGCCAGGCGGCCACACACCCTCTGCCAGGTCAGTCATGTGACCAACAGGGCCTTCTGCAAACCACGCACAGGTATCAGCCAGGGGCTCCAGGGCACAGCGCGTCTCAGCAGCTGGCACTCCTGCCCACCCGATGAAGCAGGCTTCTAGGTGGCTGTAGAAACCCACTGTGCCTCCTGGGGTGCAGGGCCCATGTGTGCTAGCACTTACGGGGTTCTGAAATCCAGCCAGCGGTACATGACTGCTCGGGTTACTTGCAGCTTCTTGGCTGCCTGCCCCTGCCTCTGGAATTATGGTCGGGTTCAAGACAGCTTTTTTCTCCTTCAGATTGAGAACCAGTCCCAGCTCTGGCAAGGGCAAACAGGAAGGTCTACTGAGGCCAAAGAGTGTGAAATACAGGTCCACGGCACCACAGCGTAGCCTCCAGTCGTGTGAGGTACCTGGAAATACAGCGAAGACACCATCACACCCCCACTCCCACGAAGTGCCCTGCTATCTGGAGTGAGTGTTCTCCCAGCCTCAGCTCTGCTGCTCCTCCTCAGGAGCTACCCACCGCCCCACGGATCCTCATGGGCAGCGCCAGGAGAACAGCGCTCCACAGCAGGCAGCATTCTCCCTCTCCCCGGCTCTTCTGGCTCATGCTTCAGGATTGCAATTCACTAAGAAAGCAGACAGTGGCAGGCTGGTGCTGCACACTCATCCTCCCAGTCCCCAAGATGGGACTGCGAGTTCCAGCCCAGCCCAGGCTACCTAGCCACTTAGTGAGGGCTTGTCTCAAAATAAGAGCCAAAAATAGGATTAGTGACAGCTCAGAGCAAAGGCCCTGCATTCAATCCCCAGTGCTGCAAGAACACACATGCACAACTACTTGAAATAACACAATGCTGAACTTGGACGTTCTGTAGAGAAAGATTTTTTATGTGTTGCTGCACTATATATGCATATATGTATTTATTTATTTTTTAAGGATTCAGCAATTGATGCTATATTCATATTGTTGTCTTTGAATCAGTTGTTCAGATTGCCAGATATAAGCATGCAAAACTGGCCAACGAAAATATTAAAAGAAAGAAAATAAGCATTAACAGTTTCTTGTAACAGACCAGTAGAAATCAGCAGTACACTTACCCAAGCTATCCTGCACGTGCATGTGTGCATGTGTGTGTATAATTTCTCTTCCTTCTTTTTTCCTCTCCCTCTCCCTCACCCCAGCTGTTCCTTCCCTTTGAACAGTTTCCTTCCCTTTCACTGTATCTACTATACCTTTTGAACTATTTACTCTTTCAGATTCTTACATTAGTAAGACAATACGATGTTTACACATGCAGTATGGCTGTACATCTCTGATTTCACTTATGAGTATGGTCTCTAGTTGCATTCATTTACCTATAAAAGCCTTGAGTTTACCTTTCTTTATGGCTGAGTAATACTCCACTGCACAAAAATACATCTTGTTTATCCTGCACCTTCATTTAAATAACAGAAGTAAGTCTACCATGGGTTACCTACAAGTGGTAAATAATGGCAGCTAAGGTAGAAATTCAGTGTCAACTAGTTAGGAAGCCCCGGCAAATTTGGTTTCTTGGTGTTTATTTCCTCCTAGAAAAGAGTCTGGGTCTGGAACCACCCTTAACCTTGGTGACAGCGGCCCAGAGCCCGCCGATCACGGGCTTCTTCTTGCTTCCCTTCCCCGGGCAGCACCCTAGGCAGACGCAGCTGGTCAACAGGGCAGAGCACCTTGGCTGTACGTTTCTATGGGCTCTAGCTGGAAGGGAACAATCTTGAGTTTAAAATATGAACAGAAAGAAGATGGAAATTGGTTTTGGTTTTTTTTTAACTTATGAACACGTAAGAACCCTGGTTGCCAGTATCTTCCAGCAGTGATTCCGACATGATGCACTTTATTAACCCACAGGCATTGCAGCGGGGATGCAGGCTGTGCTGCGGCTCCCGCACTGAGCTACATGCTCAACATCTTCTTTTCAGAGATGGGTTCTCACTAGGTTACTAAGATATCTAGGATGGGCCTAAACTTGTGATCTTCCTGCCTCAGCCTCCCAGAATGGTGAGATTATAGGCACGCACCACCAAGCCTAACACTGTCATAAAATGCTAATAAAAATCTAGCTTTTGGTTTTTACTTTTTTTTTTTCATAATTTTATTGATAAACAGATAGCAGTGAGACAGTTTCAAATCAAATCGGTAGGACAGTTTCAATAACTAACACACTGTGAGACCCAGTCCTAGCCCAGGTCCGGTGAGTGTGTGGAGAGCTTCCTGCTACCCTGCGCCCGCGGGACCAGTCCCAGTCCAGGCGCAGCGTGGGC